ATAAAAAGTTGAAATTATTTTATATTGAACATGAACAATTTTAGAAATATTTATAAATTTTTTATATTTAGAGAAGAGAGAGAGAGAAACTGTATATTAAAAATACAAGCAATTTTTTACTAACAAAACTTAATTCATAGTTATTTTATACTTTTATTAATCAATTAGTTTGTGTGTGTGTGTGTGTGTGTGTGTGTGTGTGTTAGTGTTGTGTGTGTGTGTGTGTGTATGTGTGTGTCAGTCTAATTTCAACCGATATTATTAATGATAATATTTTATTTTGTGGAAAAAAATGAATTTTAATGACTAATCGTGTGTTATATATAAAATATAAGGGTTTTTTGGGGTTTAAAGAAAAAATTTTTTTTTATATATATATGAAAAACTTTAGGTTTGCTTAATGAAGGGGAATAATAGCGTTTAAAGGCGTATAATGAGAGAGAGAAAGAGAGAGAGAGGAATGGGTGGTTATATACTACTAGAGCAGTACACACACACTCATACATACATACAAATCAATTGTGTGTGTGTGTGTGTGTGTGTGTGTGTCTGTATGTGTGTGTATGTATGTATGTATGAGTGTGTGTATGTGTGTGTGTATGTGTGTGTATGTATGTGTGTATGTATGTGTGTGTATGTGTGTATGTATGTATGTATGTATGTATGTATGTGTATTTGTGTGTATATGTATGTATGTATGTGTATTTGTGTGTATATGTATGTATGTATGTGTGTATATTTGTATATGTGTGTGTGTGTGTGTATGAGTGTGTGTGAATAATACGTGATGTAAATGTCTATTTTATACTATTGAATGCAAGTATTATACTAAACACTTTACACACACACACACACATAAAAAAATTATTTCACTATAACCTACTTGAATAGTTTTGAATGAATAAATATACAGTATATACTGTATATATATATATAAATTTATAGTATTAAATGAGATATACTGTACATTAAAAAAAATATATACAACAAAATACTAATGTGTGCTATCGACTAAACAAAACTTTTAATAATACTAATAATAATAATAATAATAATATCCAATATATACAGTAATAATGGCCAACAAAACACTAATGAGACAAACATTAGCGCACATTAAGTGTTTGTGTATTACTTGTTATTATTATTATTAATAATAATAATGACATTCATATCATAAATATATGGAAAAATTTTTACTGGGATTTCACACCATTAATAATAATAATATATTATATACARTATATATATATAATACAATACTATGTTATACTTTATTATATATACAGTATATATACAATATTATGATGATGTTGATGATGATGCACATTGTGTTTAACATAAAACACTACTGTATATCGATATACAGTGTATATTACAATATATATATATATACAGTAGTATATACTGTATCGTTAATAATGGTAACGATTTTTTTTAAAAAAAAGTAAAAATAAATGCAAACAACACTTACATTAACAACAACAACAAAACTAAATGAACGTAAAAATTCAAAATCGATAATTTAAAACATAATTTTTTTTAACATTTCATACATATATTCAATTTGTTAACAAAAAAAATAGATATATTAATAGATTTTTATTTTAATATATATATATATATGAATATAGTGTCCTTTTTTGTGTAACATTAAGGGTTAGAAAATTTTTAAATATAAATATTTTTTTTAAATATATATAATTTCTAAATATATTAATATACTGTATATTAAATTATATTAAACTACTTTATCATTGAAATATTTATTTATTATAAAATTTACTTATATTTTCCATATAATATAATGCTATTTAATATTCTGTACTTTACTATTGGTCATTCATTGATAATGTTAAACTATATATATATATATATATATATATATATATATAATTTATAGCATTCATGCATATATTTTTTAGTATCATTAATAATTTTTCATAAACTATGTGTTTATTATTATTAATAATAATTTATAATATTTATCAGACATTAACACTAAAAAATATTTTTACTAAGTTTTGTACTTTTGAAAACATAAATGACTTTTTCGCTTATATATATATATACTGTATATTATGTTATAAATATATTTATATATATATAATTATTGCTTATCACATATCGCACAGTTATTAAACTAAATTAAGAGAGAGAGAGAGAGAGAGAGAGAGAGAGAGATAAATATATGATAAATAATAGCAAATAAAATTACAATACACTCTGAAAATACAGCAAAAAGATAAATAATTTTTGGTTAAATGAGATGATAATTACCAAACATTTATTTATATAAATAGTATATAATTGCATTTTTCTATACATATACTGTATATGTTATATATATATATACTTATCATATATCATATACATTATATATATACAGTATATATATACAGTATATATATACAGTATATATATACAGTATATATATACAGTATATATATATGTTTATATATCTATCAATGATTTTAATGATTACCTCCACGTGTGGAGCACTTTAGTGTCAGTTCGTTGCCCTCATTGAATGGTCCGACAATACCGTTCAGTTGGTTATCGTTGGCGTCAAATATTTGCGGCTCTTTTGGTGGAACTGGTGATAGAGTAATAGATAGATAGATAGAGAGAGAGAGAGAGAGAGAAAGAGAGAGAGAGAGAGAGAATTTTAGATTATTAATTGATAACAATAATAATAATAATAATAGATATTAATAATACAGATATATTTGAGTTTAGTTTAGACATTCAAATTAATATTTCATATATATATTAGGGTTAAGTAATGGTGGGGGGGGGTAGGAGGTAAATATGGGAACTTATGGGAACTTTATTTAATTTATATGGAAATATTCGGAAATTTATGGATTTTAGATTTTATTGTTGTTGAAAAAAATTGCCGTTTAATATGAAATAAAAGTCTAAACAGCCTATACCCCCCCCAAAAAAAATTTAATTTCACCCCAGCCTACCCCACCCCTAAAATCCAAAAACCTTGCTTAACCCTGATATATATATATTGTACGCTACGGTATGTTAAGTCATGTGATTCATACATTCAGTACTTATTTTTTGTAACTTATTTTAAATATATGTGTTATAATAATAATAATACTAATAATGATTGTGTATAATCGATTGTGCCAATTGGTTATATTATACTGTACTATATTTATACAAGTAGATTGTGTAGACTGTTAGTTTGTATGGGCACCGGGAGGTTAGCGTAAGGGGAATCAACTAGAGAATACCAATTAAGCGCCGGTGCACACATATACACACACATACATACATACATACACACACACACACACACACACACACACACACACACATTTCATTACATAAAAATTTATATATCTTTATCTTTTAAATATAATACAATATATATCGCAATTTATTTGTGATTGTTTGCCAATTAAAAGCTCAGTCCAATACTAATCAGTATTACAGTACTATTGTGTGCACAGAGAGCACCGGTATCTAATAAAAAGGCTAAATATACAGTAAGACAGGACACACACACACACACAATGCAGTTGTTATAATTGTTATGCAATTTTTTTGTGTCCATTGATACGAATATCTTATTATACAATTCATTATAAATACAGTATATATTGGTATATATATTGTTATCTATAAATAATATCTATAATATGAATCAGTGTGCTCTGTCTATCCATACGTAACGATATATATATATATATATATACAGGAATGGGTGCTGTAAGTAGTTAAGCAAAAAGTATGTACTGTACTGTATATGTGTAAGCTGTTAGATAACTTTCCCATTGAATTATGTATTATTAGTAGTAGTGTCTCACATTATATTTATTTATTTTTTCATTTATTTCTAGAGATATCAATACTCTCTCTCTCTCTCTCTCTCTCTCTCTCTCTCTCTCTTTCACACACACACACACACCACACAATTGATGTCTATATACCCGCTATTAATGCCTATGGATTTTATTTTTTTTGCGGTACCGGATCCGTATGGACCGGCATAACAATGAACCCCATCATCATAACCAACACACACACACACACACACAGACACACACACATACAGTACACATACACACAGAATATTCTGTATCTCATTCACAGAATAATCAAACCGTGACTTATGAATTACACATCAATCACTGTCTCATATATATATATAACTGTATGTATATATATATAACTGTATATATATATACAATATATATACTGTATAGTTATATATATATATATATATATTAAGCACCTATAGATTACAGGGATTTTTATAGTATTATAAATACATATACATATATGTGTGTGTATGTGTGACTTATATTTCCTTAAAAAATAAATTAACATTTTGTTTTTGATTTTTAAAATTAAAAATAAATAATTTTATGTCTATTATCAATACATGTTATATTATTGTCATATATTTTGATGTGATTTTTATTGTGATTAAAATATGCTTTGATAAGTAATTATTTTTTAGTAATTTTAATAATTGCTAATTTTTAAAAATTTTTATATAATATATATCTGTATATATATTTTTAATTAAAATAACTGTCACTCATTTAGATAAATATACGGTATATATATATATATTAATAGATTGATAGTATAATAAAATTAAGTAATTTTGTTTATATTAAAATAATTTATCTATTAATCAAATCAATATTAATATTAAAACTAATCTATTGTAAATCAATGTATTATATCTATATATCATATAAATATATATATATATATATATATATAATTTATATAGTAGTACAATAAATTAAACTGCATTATGGTCAAAATGCAATAAATATTTAAATCAATATATATCTATACACTATATATATATATATACTATAAATATATAATATAATATATATAACTTATACAATATTTATATGATATAATATATATATATATAAAATAAATCAATAACTCATTTATTTTTTGGTGTCACTATACATATATAAATGCCGGAGCGTTTTGAATATGCGATTATTATTTATATATATATATATATATATATATATATATGAATACAATCATTGGACATTTTCCTCTATAATATACAGTATGTCTAGCACCGGGAGATGATAGCTTATGTATACTATACTGTACTGTTATTTATATGTTCAGTTGTTGACCTTTTTTATTATTATTATTATTATTTTGAAGGGAAAAACTGCTAATAAATTGCTTGTAAGTCATTGAATGAATGTTTAATTATCCAAATAATCAGTCGTGTAATTTATTTTCGGCTATATGTATGTATATGTGTGTGTATGTATGTGTGTGTATGAATGTATGTGTGTGTATGTGTGTGTGTATGTGTGTGTATGTGTGTGTAAGTGTGTGTATGTGTGTGTATGTGTGTGTATGTGTGTGTATGTGTGTGTAAGTGTGTGTATGTGTGTGTATGTGTGTGTATGTGTGTATGTGTGTATGTGTGTGTGTGTGTATGTATGTGTATGTGTGAACATGTAATAATAATAAAAACATATACAGTACTAGTATATGCAATACATATATATATAAAAAATACATTTACAAATTAATACATTTAGTTTAGTACTAATATTACTACTACTAGTAGTAGTATTAGTAGTGGTGAGGAAAGGTACGTACAGGTGATATATTTCCCGTGTATTGTAATATCACAACAATAATAATAATAATAAAAAATTATTATTAATATTATAGTACAATATATATACTGTATATTACAGGTATACAGCTGTACATGTATTGTACTGTTATAATTAAATTATAAATAAATTACAATTTTTTTTATTTTTTTGTATAGATTATTATTATTATTAGTACATTACCTATAACTTTAAGATTGATTACAGTGTTGACTGTACGGCCACGTTTGAAGTCTACACGGCACCGGTAGTCGCCGGCATCCTTGTCCTCTACCGGCTCTATCTGTAGGTAAGCCGGACGCGAGTGGGTATTAAAATAGGCCCGCCCTGTGTGATTATCGGGTTTATATAATATGATTATTATATTCAAATAAATAATAATAACATTAGTCTAATAGTCAACTGTGTATAACTGTTAACATTGGACAGTCAACAGTAAACTACTTGTGCTATACTAGCTGTTGTTGTTGATGGCTATACTACTGGATATATTGATATATATATATATAAGGACTGATGACTTTAAATACTAATGTTATTTTGTGTTGTTTTTGTTGTATAATATTATTATATATATATATATATATATATATATATATATATATATATATATATATATATATATATATAAATTATATATATAAAGTGTTGCCATTACCTAACTTAATGCAAATATCATCTAATGTTTGTACATATATATATAAATGTATTTATTATTATATTAAATTATAATAATAATATAAGGTGTTTATAATTTTTGATTCAAATAAAACTATCGATAAATTTTTTATTTAATTAACATATTTCTTTATAATTTGTTTAGCAAAATAAATAAATAACTAAAAATTTTCTAAATTAATTACAAACTTATTTTTTTGGATAAATTTAATTAATTTTTTATTAATGAATATATATATATATATATTAGAAAATTATATATTATTATATATGTAAATTATTAAATATAATTAAAAATTAAATTTACCATCTAAAATGCCAGCTGATAGTATACGTCCTTGATTCAAATTACCTTGATATAAATTATTTTTAATTATTATTAATTATAAATAATAAAAAAATATATATAATTAATTTTAATTTATAGTTAGAAAATAAAAATTATTTAATTAAATATTTATTTTTCTTAGTCCACACACACATAACACCTTAATTTAGTATTGAATTTATTTTCATTACTAAATACTGTACAAACTATTTCTCAATTTCAAAAAAAAATTAATTAAATAAATAAGTTTTTTTGTGTGTAAATAAATAAATAGATAGACACACACACACACACACATACTAACCAAAATCAATATCAATTGACCCAAATTTTTTTTTATATATATTATTATATTTATACTATTATATCTGTAAATACTACTGTATATATATACACACAATTTTAATATATATATATATACCGGATATAATACAATTGTTAATTATTATGTAATAATGTTATTATACAGTATTTTTTTATAAGCTATATATATATATATATTGTATAGTTAAATGCCAAGTGACCACTAACTATAAGCGATTTATATATTAAACATATTGTTTGCCATTGTATTTGTTTGTATCACAATATATATATACTGTATATAAAAGAGACTACCAGTGCTAAGGGATATACAGACTATACTATTGTATACTATTGTATATATATAAAAAAAACTGTTAGCAAAATCTATGTCCGGTATATCATATAGATATTACAGTGTTATACTGTACACACATATACAGTAACAATAGGGAAAGGGATGTTATTTTTCTCCTACTGAATGAAACTTTATTTAAAAAATAAAAAAAAATCTGTTTTCACATTAGTTTTTCGGGAGGCAAACGATTTTTTCTTTTTTTATAGAAAATAAAAGATAGAAATATATATATATTTTATATATATATATAGGAAATGACTTTCTTCTCCTTATATTTAATATATATATATAATATATAAATAAAAAAAAATATAGGAATAAATGAGGAAAATGTTTGAAAGTGAATAACCGGTCAAATATGTGGACAGACAGTCAATATATATATATATATATATATATATATATATATATTATAGTAATGATTGGCTTTTCCATAGCATTTGATGATTAGACTATAGGATTAATTTACTTATATATATATATATAAAAATAGATATATTTATTACATATAGTAGATTGTTATATATATATATATATATATATATATATATATATATATATATATATCTTATATACAGTAAAAGATCAAAGTTTGTCTAATCATTACTATCATTAAAGCGCATAACGATATCATATATACAGTACTATTTGTGAGGATATGTATGTAATATCAATAGTATTGATAATAATAATAATAAAAAAATATACTATAATATGCGTATAACGTATACCTTATATAACAAGCAACAAAAAAATAGCTAACAATTTATTTATATATATATATATACAATATATACTTTATATAGCTATATATATATATATATATATATATATATATATATATATATATACAGTATATATATTTAATACGGTATTAATTTCTATATGTTAGTGAAAGTTGACCTTTTTTTGTGATAATTTTATTTGATGATAATTAAATTGACCACAAAAATACACACAACAACAAAAAAAAAGTTATATATTATAATATATAATTAATAATAATAATAATAATAAAATATTTTTGCTGATTATTTGATGAAATATTATTATTTATTTTTGTAATTATTTCATTATTTTTTAGATAAATAACTAAAAAAATACTCATTATTATTATTATTAATATTATAAAATATATTTTGAATAGTATATTCAAGTTATATTTAGTAAAAACATATAATTGACATATGGATCTAAAAAAGTAATAGTTAAAAATAATAGGACACCAAAAAATATATATATATATATAATATATGAAAAATAAATAAAAATGTCTAAAAAATAACTTATAATAAAAATTGATTTTAACAGCAAAAAAAGATCAAAAGGATTATAACATATATATATACAGTATATAGTTATATATGTAGACTATAAATATAAAAATAGATATAACTTATATATATATATATATGTATAGTTAGGAAAAAATATAGTATAATAAGTTTAATAACATATACACTGTATATATATACTATAGATTTTTTTCACTGATAAATCAATAACTTATTTTATTTTTATTTATTTATTTTTTTTTTGCTGGCAATAATATATTATTGAATGTGTCTTATATATATATATATATATATATATATATATATATATATATATATATAGTGGTCTCAATGGATTCAACTGTCTATCAATTTTAACTGGCAGTAAATTTTCAAAAATAATAATAATAATAATAAAATTATCTCACATTTGGTTAGTGATAAAGTTTTAGACAAAAAATAAATAAATTGTTCAAAAATAAATATAATATACATTTTTATCTTTAATAATTAAAACAATATTATTATGTAAACTAAACTAAATTAGTTTTAAACATTTGACCAAAATTTTTATGTCAATTTATAAATTATAATAAATAAATAATAAAAATAATTTAGCTATACTATTTCATAATATATATATATAGTGTTATATATTTTTTGTTTGTAATTTTTATTGTCGATATATATATATAGATATAATATTTTTATTTAATTATGTCAACAAATATCATATTTTTAGCCTTTAAATCAATAGTAGTTTCAATATATATATATATATACAGTAGTACTGTATTTATTTATTTACTACTACTACTATATATAAGTACATGACATTTAATTTAATTATAACTAATACAAGTCAAGTATTATACAAAAAAAATAAAATAAAATATATTAATAATTATATTTCAAAAAAAATTAATACATTCAAGTAGTTTACAGTCGATTTCTAGTATCTCTTTTATGTTTAAGTATTAAATTATTATAACACTTATGTTTATATATAAAAAAAATTTAATTTTTATATATATATTCATAATATTATCATAAATTTATTTTATAGTATTTTTTTCATTAATATTATTAATAATAATAATATTTTATACATAAAAACTATTGTAATTATTAAATTGTCTATTTTTGTTTTGTTTTTATTTGCTGTACTTATATATATTAATATTATAATAATACAAAAAACATAAGTACAACAAAAAATATTAATATTAATAATAAAAACTAATAAAAACATATGAAATAATAATAAAATATGTATAGAAAAATAATTAAAAAATAAAATAATAAAATAATAAAAAGTCAAGATTTTTTTCAGTCTATTATTTTTCAATGGGGTTATTGTTATTATATAATAATAATAATAATAATAGATATACTATTAATAATAGTTATTATTACTATTATTATTATTGCTATTATAAATTTAATGCATATTATAGTAGATTGAATCTAACATTATATATATATATATATATCAATAATTTGTTTTTTAAAAGAAACTAAATAATAAAAAATAAAAACAACAATTTATTATTATCATTACTGTTCAATGATCCATATTATCACATATTATAATAATAATAATAATAACAATACGGGTATTATTATTATTAATGATATATTAATCAATAATAATGTAGAAAATAATAAAAAAATACTAAAAAAATCTAAATGAACTAAAAATAAATCAAATGTTTAATTTTTGATACAATATTATTATTATTATTATTATTATTATTATTATTATTATTATTATTATTATTATTATTATTATTATTATTATTATTATTATTATTATTATTATTATTATTATTATTATTATTATTATTATTATTATTATTATTATTATTATTATTATTATTATTATTATTATTATTATTATTATTATTATTATTATTATTATTATTATTATTATTATTATTATTATTATTATTATTATTATTATTATTATTATTATTTTTTGTTAGACAAATTGCAACCATTAAAACACAAAATAAATATACAAATGAAAAACGATTAGCTGATCATCAATTGATTTTTGAGTAGTTTATAGAGAAAAAAAAAACAATGTTTTATATATATAAAACTAAAATCTATATAAAATTTAATTTAAATAAAAGTTTTTATTATTATTGATTTTTTTGTCTATACATTAAACAAGAGTCCCAACTGTGCCTACAATTTATAAATTTTATAACCATATAAACTATATTACAATATATATACAGTATATATATATATTATATATAGTATATATATATATATATATATATATATATATATATATATATATATATATATTTATATATATTGTATATAAATAATGCTTATAAAAAATATATATATAAAAATTATAGTGTCTATAAAATTGCATACATTAAAAAAAATTGGCGACATATTTAATTTAATTTTATTCAACATAACTGGCATTTTATATTGAATTTAGATAAAAAAAACTAAATAGACAATTGATATAATTTATATGATAATAATAGAGTAAATGCTATAATTTTGTTTGTCAGCAAAATTTGTTAGTTTTTTTCCACTAAAATTTTATTATATTTCAAATATAATAAAATTAACTTAAAAAATATAATTTTTTTGTAACACTATTAAGCAAAATGTTTCGATTATTTTTATTATTATTATTATTAAAAATCATTAAATGATTTATTTTGTAATTATATATAGATTTTTAGAGAGAAATATCTATTTTCTTATTTTTTTAATGAATTTTATATATATATATATATAGATTTTCATTAAAAAAATATATCAAATTTTTTTTAAATATAATAGATACTAAAATAAATATACTTTAATTTTTAATTATTATTAGTATTATATATATATAAATTATATATAATTTTATAATTAATTGATTTAAAAACATACCTCTCCTAGAGTCCAATGTGAATATTGGTGCCAACTATTAAATTATTTTATTATTCAAAATAAATATAATAATATTTAATTAATATTTATATATATATATATATATTTAAATATCTAACTGACCTCATCATCCTTATACCAGAGCACTAGTACTACCTGATCGTCACCAGTGGATGGGGTTATATCGCATGGAAGTGATGCCTATAATTATATTATTTAATTATATAATTATTATTATTATTTGTAAATATATATGTATACTAAATATTTAACATTTAAGCAAAATAAATATCTATTAAAAATAGTAGTATCATTTTTAATATATATACAAATAGCATATATATATATTTGTAAAATAATTAGATGAAATTTATTTTTGTAAAAAAATCAATAATATTAATATCATATATGTATACAAGTTATAAATCAATATATATTTATGAGTTACTGATTACTAATTAAATATTAATATAGTTTATGTTTTATTTATTTAATAAAAAAAATTCCTAATTTATATATTTAATATTAATATTACAAAATACTACTGATAACAGTTTTACAATAATTATAATAATTTTTTAAATAAAAAAATTATAAATTTATAAAAATAATAATTTCTATATACTGTAGTACATAATCAATAGTTCAATATTTGTAGTAATATTTAATATTAATTTTTTTTAAAAAACAGTTATCTGTATAATACTATATGAATTTTAATTACAATAAGATCTACTACTTATAAACAATCAACAAATATATATTAAATATATTATATATATATATATATATATTTGATAATATAAAATCTCAGTCATAACAATATTAGTGTTATTAATGTAAAACAATAATAAAAAAACCACAAATATTTTTATTTTATTTTTTTTTAAAAATTTAACGACTAATTATTGTTATTATTATTATTATTATTATGACTATAATTATTATGACAAAATAATAATTACATACCTTTCCAGTGAGTACAGTAGACAACAGTATTGTGGCTATTAATAGACAGAAAATAAATAAATTAAATACAATGTTATTATAAATTTCATATATATATATAGTAATATTATAAAAAAATAATATATTTTATTGACTATAAAAATTTTTAATGATAGAGATATAATTTTTTTTTGTTTATTTTTTTGTTTGTAAAAATAACTTATTTTATATAATAAATATATTTAGCATAAATATTAAATGGGCATAAAATTTGGCTATAAATTTGAAATTACAGTATTTTTTTATTAATATGAAAAAATAGTAATATATTTTATATGTATATATTTTTAATAAAATCATATATTTGGTGACATCCATACAAAAAATAAATTGAATGACTATATAATTTACTTGATTTAATTATAAAACACATTTTTGTTATCTTTTACAGCTATAAATATAATGTATTTTGATATATATATATATATATATATATATATATATATATATATATATATATATATATAACATAATATTGAATAAAATTATATATATATATATAATGTAATGAGTTTTATTTTTTGATAATAAAAATCAAATTAGTATTACAAAAATAATAGATAAATATTATATATACTGTATATATAGATATATATTATTTGCACATAACGTATAATATTTTCTATTATATTAATAAATGTATACAAAAATTTTTATGTTAAATAAATGCCTAAAAATATAAGATTTTAAAAACAAATAATTTTTGTTAATTTATATTAGTTAGTCAAATATACAGTACATGTTTGTTGAAACATATCAAACATACAGTATTTATATATATATATATATATATATATATATATTAATATTGTAAATACAAAATTAAATGACATAAAAATAGCTCTCTATTATCTAACATTTCAAATAATATATTTGAATAATAAATAATATAACTGTATATGTATATAAAGTCTACATTTAGTATATATATAAAGTTATAATAGACATAAATAGATAACAAAAATATACTAAAAATAATATTATTATATTTTGTAATAAATGTTTGTATTATTATTATTGTTATTATTATACTGAAAAATGTGCATCAATTCAAACATTAAAATGAGTTAAAAATTTTCAAAAACAATATAGTTAATATTGTAATTTTTTAAAAAAGTAAATATTACATTGAATATATTATTATTATATATTATATATTATTATTATAATGTCTTATTTTACTATTTATCTAAAAACAAACAAAACAAAATCAATATTAAACAAATAAAAATAAAAATTGTATTAAATTTTTATTTGATATAGATATAAATTTTTATATAAAATATATATATAGAATAAATAAATCATAAATATATATTTATATACTAGTATATAATTTGAAAATATAAACTATTTAAAAAAAATAATATAATAAAATGTATTTTTTTTTAATAAAAATAAGTTTATTTTATTTAATTTTTTTGTTGTTGATCTCTATAATGGTTTAAAATGTTGTTGATTTTGTTTGATATAATAATAATAATAAATGAGATTAATTTTTTTTCAGCAATATATATATATATATATCAATATATATATATATATATATATATATATATATATATATATATATATATATATATATATATATATATATATATATATATTTGTTAAGCTTTACCAACGTTTTAATGGGAATTATCAATTTGTCAAAAAAAACTTATGGATTAGTTTTTTTAAAAAAAATATTATTATTTTTTATTTCTTTTATATTTATAAGATTAAAAAAAATTTATTTCTACAAAAAAACATAAGTTTTTACAAATACTCAAAACTAATAGTGTATATTGTATTATATATATATATATATATAAATCATAAAAACTATATATATTTTATATATAAATTGTTAAAAATTTTTATATCGCAATATTTAATCAAAATATTTTGTTAACATATATATATATACATATTATTATTTATTTTATTTTTATTTTTTTTGAATTTGAATAAATAGTTATATATTAATTTTGTTAATATTAATACTAAATATTATTTTTTATTTCTATAAATTGATAATATTTTTTTTTAAAATTAAATTTATAGTATGATATAAAATATAATCTACTATATATGCTATTTATTAATTATATATATATAATATATATCCTAATATATTATTTGCAGTACAATTATTATACTAAAAAAAATTAAATAAATAACTAAATACTAAACCCCTGTAAAAGTTTATTCATTACAATGTTTAGTAAATATGCAGCAAAAAAAATTAATACAAAAAATAATTTTATATATATATATATATACAGAATCTTTTAGAAAAAAGAGATTATTTTAATGTTTATATATTGTATACTAACTAAAAAAAATTAAGTAATTAAAAAACAAGTTAAAGCAAATTAAATGTAATCTCTCTCTCTCTCTCTCTCTCTCTCTCTCTCTCTCTCCCTCTCTCTCTCTCTCTCTCTCTCTCTCTAACACTAACTCTATGGCAATGATATCTTTTAACGAAAAAAAAATAATAATAACAGACACTAGTATTTTCATTGAATTAAAAGTAATTCATTGAATGCCTTCATAAACATTAAATGCGATAAAAATAGTCTTTTAATAACATCGGCTCTGACTTTGTATGTAATGAGACTATAAATTAAAGATAATAAAAAAAACCGGCACTCCTTTTATGCCTTAACTCTATGTGCTCTCTCTCTCTCTCTCTCTCTCTCTCTCTCTCTTAGATAGTCAGTCAAAGAGAGAGAGAGAGAGAAAGAAAGAGAGATTGTTTAGTATTATATTATATATATTGAAAAGAGTTTAGATCTTTAGATTCAATATAATATACACACCACTGGTTGGGCATAAAGTATAGTATTTTTGTGTATAAAATTTTTTTTGGTGTTTTGTTTTTGAACTGTATATTGAATTCATTTAATAGTTTTTATTTTTTTTCCTTATTTTTTGTGTGTTCAGTATATTCAAGCATCTATTGAATCGTATCATCAAATATATAGTGTATATATATAAGGGGCACACAATTGCCCAATTGATTTTAATTAAATAAAATCAGTACTAAAAATCAGTACTGTTTGCAGACAAATATATATATATTTATCTATAATATATATACAGTATATATATATATATATATATATATATGAGTATTACTGTGTGTAGTAATAGTTGTGTCATCAAAACAGTTTCAATATATTTTGTTTTAAATGTACAAATAATACTGTATATACTGTAGATATATATCACACATTTTAATTAACAAAAAAAATTGTTTTATATTTGAAGTTAATTTTTTTTTATTTATAAATAATTGTATTATATTAATGTTTAATGTGAGTTGTTTTAAATTGCATATTTAAAATATATTATTATTATTATTATTCTTAATATTATTATTAATATTATTAATATTATTATTAACCAAAATATGTTTGACTAATCCTTTGATGTTTACAAGTCAGACACAACACGTAAATGTCTAGAAATTTATTTATAATATATTTCACATAAAATGACAATTTTCCTGTTTATATATATGTAATATAATATATATATATATTAAGAGACACTTTCTGACTTTTAATGTTTTTACAAAAAAAAAATAAAATAATAAAATATCATAAATAAACTCCAGTTATGTTTAACTTCATTATATATATAAATATATATATATATATATTGAATATATATCTATATATAATAAATATTGCTTATGTGAACATAAAATTTTGTTGATTAAAAATCTAATTATAAATAAAATTAAAGCTAACATTACACACACACACTAAACATTTTTAGTATCAAATAAAATTAGATATAAGTAAATATAGTAATATACAGTCGAGTCTATTTAATTTCACACAAATTTTTGGGTCCATTTTAATACACAATTTATGATAAACAGTGTTTGAAATTATGTTAAGATTTTTTTTTTTGTTAATTATTAATAACCTATCGTTAAATAATGTAAAATAATTATTATTAAAAACTAAAATATTAAATAAAGTTTAGAAAATATATTATATTATTTATTTTGAGATTTCAAATATTAAGTATATTATTTATTATATTATTATTATTATTATTATTATTATTATTATTATTATTATTATTATTATAGCATATATTATCTAAATTATACTAAAAAATTAATTGATATTATTTTTATGTTAAATTATATATAAATTTATACATAAATTTTTTATATCTTAAAATGTTGAAATTATACCAAGTTAATTTTATTTAGATTGATTATTGATTGACTGTATATTCAATATATATATATATATATATACAATATCATCAAATGCTAAATTAACATTTGAATTATAAGGTATATTATTGGTATATACTGTATATATATAATTTATTTTTGTTATTACTATGGGATGTCGTCTAACTGTATATTTGTTGGTTTGTATACATATATATATATATATACTGTATATATGTGTGCTATTGTCGACACTAATGACCAGACTGTTGATAAACACACACAAACTTTTATTATCATATATATACTGTATATCATATATATTGTATATATGACTGTATATAATAAAACTGTATAATACTGTATATAAAATGAAAGTTTTTTTTATTTGTTGCTAAACTGATGATGTATTCAACTATTCAATGATCGATTGGTTACCACCAGCTTTTGAAGTCATCTCAAGATTTTTATTTAGTTATTATTTTATTTTTTTTATTTTTTTTTGGTCAAAATTCAGACACAGAGAAGTCTTTTATGTTGACAACAATTGCATTATAAAGAGAGAGAGAGAGAGAGAGAGAGAGAGAGAGAGAGAGAGAGAGAGAGATAATAAAAAAAAGTGAGTAAAAGATAGACAGATATAGACAGAGACAGATACAGTAGACTAGTATTGTATTGTATATGTTATATAAGATTAAGATATAATATATATATCTATATATATGCTGTACTGTATTTAAACAGTTGAATACAAGTATATTAGCAAATACTATGTGTATGTGTATACAGTATATACTGTATGTTTGTGAGACA